AGAAAAAAGAAGGCCTGGAAGAGGATGGTTACTAAAGTCTGCTTTGTTGGAGATGGCTTTACAAGAAAACCACCTAAATATGAAAGATTCATTAGGCCAATGGTAAGTCCTTTGCAAGGGTTTAGTCACCTAAATATTAGTCCTTGTTAAACTGGATAAAGTATATTACAACTTCCTGAAATTCCTAAAATTTGTTTGAAAAACAGGTTAAAAAATGTTTTTATGCTATTTTTGTTACTCTGAGAGTAAGTACTTAGCACTTTTTCCACTATAATCAAGAATCTTGTCTTTAACTTCATAAATGGAGATTTCAAGTGAAAAAGAATTTTCATAATAGACATCTTTATCGAATTCCTTGAAACATGATATATTAGAACTTTCTCTATCCACACAGTTACACTCTACTCATTCAATAAGTGACTATTATATGTCTGACACTGCTAGGCCTCAAACACGTCTTTAAGATCAGTTAGAAAATTTGAGGACAGTTTTGAGTCACTTCTGGTTTAGTCAGGGAAATATAATAATGCTTTTGAAAACATTCAGTATGTAATCATTATAAAAAGAGAAGAGGACTAGGGGTGAGGCTCAGTGGTAGAGCACTTGCTAGCATGTTCCCCAGCACTGCAAAAAGAGACCAAAAAAAAAAAAAAAACTACATTGTGCTTGGCATCCCCAGCACCATGAAGTAAAATTTAATTTAATTTTTATTAGCTAATATTTCTTCTTTTTTTTTCTTCTCCCTTCAGGGAAATATGCCCAAGTTACCAATAATCCTGAAAGTGATGGATGCATAAATGCGGTCTTACTGGTTTTACAACAGTTTTACACTCCTTAAAATTATTATAAGACTACAAATCAATCAAGACTACAAACTACGACTACCATTAGTAGTAGTTTCTGAATACTACCATATAATATAGCTATAAAAGTAGCTTTATTATGATGTCAGTGATGTTAACATGCCCCTAAACTAATCATCATTTGCCCACCCCTGCTTCAGGAAAGATATAATTGAATATATTTTTGTAAAATGCCTTGAAAACCAGCCTGCTTAAAACAAGGAATCAGAAAGCTAGTATTAATTCTTGCTCAGGGTGATTGTTTAATAGATTAAGTAAAATACTGGCAGTCTGTTTATGTAAATTAAGTCTTACTGTTTTTTTTTTTGTTGTTGTTTTGTTTTGTGGTGCTGGGGATTAAACCAAGGCCTTGTGCATGCAAGGCAAGCATTCTACCAACTGAGCTATATCCCCAGCCCTAAACTAAGTCTTAATGGAACATAGTCACACCTGTTTGTGTATACATTGCATACCCACCCTTCCCTTGAAGAGTTGCAAGAGACTATATGACTTGAAAAGCCTAAAATGTTTACTGTTATTTTATTCATCTACTTTTGGATTATATCATCAACTACCCTTGTTTTCAATTTCATATTCAAAATTTTCTGAATGTTTTGGCAACGGGTTCAATAGGGAGACACTATATTAGTCAGGCTATTCTTATAAGTATATTTAAAGAAACTATTACTAAGAACCTGATTTAATATTATCCCTTCCCACCATATAGGTAAAAATAAAGACTACAAAGTATGGTGACATAAGTACTACACTCCAAAAGATCCTATCTAGATGGCTGGGTGGTTCCATATTTGTAACAAAGCCTCTCTGGGTGCTCTCCACTCTTGTACCTGTTATCATTGAAGAAAACTTGACAGTCCACCCCTTTTTGTATCATGCATGGTAGCTAAAGTATATGGAGACTTAGAATTGGGACATTTACATTTGATTGATTTCATTTATCTCCCTTTCCATCATTTGATCAGGTTTCTTTTTTTTGTACTGGGATTGAACTCAGGGGCACTCAACCCCTGAACCACATCCCCAGCCCTTTCAGTATTTTATTTAGAGACAGAGTCTCACTGAGTTGCTTAGTGCCTTGCTTTTGCTGAGGCTAGCTTTGAACTTGGGATCCTCCTGTCTTAGCCTCCTGAGCCACTGGGATTACAGGCCTCCACCCAGCTCATTTAATCAGGAAACAGTCATTAAGACTGCTGACCCTTGTTTCATCATTTAACAGAAAGAAAGGAAGGGCATATGGTAAGGTTATCATGTATCATCAGCTCTAGCATTGTGCTTGGCATGTACCAAATTTTCAATAAGTACAGATGACTAGACAAAGTCAAAATAGGAGTATTTTTCTAGGTAACTGTTACATAGTAAAAACTTTGCAGGAGTATATATGTAGGATTTTTCTTCACATTTATCCTGTTAATTTTTTAGTCATTAGAAATAATAGTATTTTATTTGAAAGGTTGAAAGATTTGACATTTATTGAACCAATGATTAATTAATTTATTTTAATTAGTTATATATGACAGCAGAATGCATTTTGATTCATTGTACACAATTGCAGCAAAACTTTATCTTTCTATGATTGTCACACCGTATGTGCAGTTATACATGTACCTAGGGTAATGATGTCCATCTCGATCTGCCATCTTTCCTGCCCCCATGCACCCTTCTTCCCCTTTGCTTGAACCAATGATTCTTTGATGGTGCAAAAGATAAGTAAAAAGGACTACTCATCATTAACATTTTGGACTCATAGCTTATGTTTGTTTACTAGGGCTTACGTTTCAAGAAGGCCCATGTAACACATCCTGAACTGAAAGCCACCTTTTGCCTACCAATACTTGGTGTGAAAAAGAATCCGTCA